CCCCAAAACCCCAAAACCCCAAAACCCCAAAACCCCTTTGTTGTGAGAGTGTATTGAAGGTGCAAAATTGAGATTTTTAATGACTTTGCTTGGATGAAGATATTTTGATAAGTTCTTTAGTTTAATTCTAGTCCATCACCTTTTAATGATGAGCAGCAATCTGCTTCTTATATTCTTCCCCATATTTATCACCTGGAAATTCCTTCCATGGGCCTCGATCAGATTCGAATCAGTCTCCATCATATTCTTCTCAGGTTCATTGACCTCCGAACTCGATTGGTAGATTCTCCTCATCAACATATTCAAAAAGTTCTTCTTGACATTTGGGTCTTAAAATTGTGACTTTTTTCTTAGTCTTTTCAGGAATAAATGGCTTCAAGACTCACCATATGGCTTTGAAAGACATAGGAGAATTGATGAAAAACAAAGAGTGCATAACCTCCGGGTAGTTTTTCTGAGTAATCCCCATTGGAATCTTGATGAGTTCCCTACTGCTTTTACTTAAACATTGCAATCTTTAAGCCATTTAAGTCTACTACCGAAGTCACTTGATCGATTAGCTTCCCAGATGCTTCTGAGCATGCTGGGAGACGTACATGTAAAAGATATTCAAACTGTTGGATATAATTCCTTGTCATTTCAGTTTTATCAGCAACTTTTAGGAGGTCCTCTATGGGAGCTGCTGTTCAAGGACAATCAAGGTACAAAGGTCTACCACTTTTATCTGTTCCATGGAAACCATGTTTATAAAATTTCTTAACATCTGCAATATTAGATACATCATAAAGAAGAAAGCAGTCGTCAACTTCTCTGAGATCTCTCCATTCAATAAATTCCTTAAACATTAATTTTACTTCATCAAGTACGAATTCTCTTGCTCTGCAGAACCTGAGCAGATATTGGTCGGTATATCTATCAGAAGTAGTTATTCCTTCTTCTTGGATATACTTTTTCAGGACCTCAAGAGTGTCTTGTTGTTCCTCAGTGAGACAATCAAGATGGCCAATAAGCTTCTGCTCCTCTTCCACAGGCTGCTTCCTTGTGAAAAATTTCATTTTTAAGTTATGTAGGAAATAAGTTATAAGTTTCCTCCAGATTTAGGGGTTTTGGGGTTTTGGGGTTTTGGGG